TGTGGGGAGGTGAGTGTGTGTGGAGTGGGGTATGAGTGTGTGTAGAGTGAGGTATGAGCGTGTGTGGAATGAGTGTGTGTGTAATGTCAGTGTGTGTGTGTGTAGTGGGGCATGAGTGTGTGTAGTGGGACAAATGTGTATTTGTAGTAGGGTTTGGGTGTGAGTGTGTGTGGGGGTGAAGGTGTTTGGAGTGGGGTATGAGTGTGTATGTGTGGAGTGGGGAGTGAGTGTGTGTAGATTGGGGTTTGAGTGTGTGTGGGGGTGAGTGTGTGTGGAGTGTGATAAAAGTGTGTATGTGTAGTGAATGTGTATGGGGAGTGAGTGTGTGTGGAGTGGGGTATGAGTATGCGGGGAGGTGAGTGTGTGTGGAGTGGGGTAAGAGTGTGTACATGTGAGTGTGTGTGGGGTGTGAGTGTGTGTGGAGTGGGGTAAGAGTTTGTGTGTGGGGTGAGTGAGTGTGTGTGGAGTGGGGTATGAGTATGTGGGGTGTGAGTGTGTGTGTGGGGTGTGAGTGTGTGTGGAGTGGGGTAAGAGTGTGTGTGTGGGGTGTGAGTGTGTGTGGAGTGGGGTATGAGTGTGTGTGGAGCGGGGTGTCTGCGTGTGGGGATGCTGTGAGTGGAAATATCACAGTTGTGACACAGCAGGCAGAAGAGTGCAGCAGCCATAGCCACACCTGACCTTGGTACAGCTTGGCTCTGTGTGCATGCAGGGCCTCACACAGACGCTCACTTAGGAAGCGGATGTTTACACAAGGAGTGGCACTGCTGTCATAAACTCATAAACCAGACTGCAGCGGCACTGATTTCTTGTGGTGCTCAGCAAAACCGCTGCACAGGGGCTGTGGTGAACTGATCAGCCGAAAGCACTAAAAGCACCCTGACCCTGCAGGTCAGTGCAGACAATCTGCTCCATCAGCTAAGATAGCAAAGTCCAGTGTGTTTATAGAGCTGGAGGAGGAACAATGAATCTCTCTCTCCCGTACTGGTCTCTCTGCCTCTTGCACGCTACCGCGTTCACGGCGTGGATACTCACCCGTATCGCCCCACTTCTACCCCGAATCTGGGGTCCCAGGCCTGCTGCCCCTCCGGGCCTGTCCAGAACTCCATCACTCAGGGGTCCAGAAGTGATGTGGAACTCGAGAGCCCAAACGAATCTAGAACACACTTCAACACAGCACGGAAACACTAACCTGGAGCTCCCCGCCCACAGACCCCGAGCAGTCTGTGTGGTCACTGCTCTGCTGGGAGACATTGCCACGCTGGGACTCAGACTTACAGTAGTGATGCAGGGATTAAGTATTTTATTCATATCAAATTTTATTTATATTACTATTAGTGTTCATAATAATATTAATGACAATGTTATGTTAGTAATAATTAAACAGCCTCTCCAGCTCTCACTCTCCGTGACACTGGGCAGATTTGGCTGCACATGATAATTTGCAAAGCCCTTACCTTCCCTAACGCGCCCCAACACGGCCTCAAGAGCATCACACGGACCTGGAGGCCAGGAGCCGCAGGTCTGTCTGCTCCAGACACTGTCCTGCTCTCCTGCTGCCTCGCCGGGCTGATCGGACTGTCTGGACTTGCGCTGAGCCGCAAAGGCTTTTAAACCAAGAGGCAGGCCACCCCCCCTCAGCTGCAAATACCCTCCCGTCAGACTTTCGGGAACGTCCCCTCGTCAGCTTCGACACTTCTAATTAAAACAAGCAGCCAGGAATTCTTTAATTAAGTTCATATTTAGTAGGTGTCAAACACACACTGGTCCACACCAACTCCCCCTGAGAGAGGCGGAGATGAAAAACCACCGACACACACTCACACACACAATCACACACTCACAATACACACATACACAATCTCTCACTCTCCCTCACACACTCACAATATTTCACACACTCTCTCACACACATGAACTCTCACACTCACTCTCACACACACAATCAAACACTCACAATATTTCACACACTCTCTCACACACATGATCTCGCACACTCACTCTCACACACACAATCACACACTCACAATATTTCACACACTCTCTCACACTTATAATATTTCACATACATTAACAATCTCTCACACAATCTCTCTCTCCCACTCTCCCTCTCACACACACACAGTCAAATACACACTCTCTCACAAACACGCAGTCAGATACACTCTCTCTCACACACACACAGTCAAATACACACACTCTCTCTCACAAACACACTCTCGTAGTGATCAAAAACAACAGCAGCCCCCCAGAGCTGACCTCAGCACTCTGCCACCATTGTCTGGGGTTGTGGCACTCAGCCTCGTCTCTTTGTCCTGCTGCCCAGACGGGACGCCACTCTGCACCCCACTGCGGGGACACAGAGAGAGCCCTTGCAATATCAGGGTGCTGGCCAAAACATTCACGAGTTGAGCTTGAAAGTTGTGTTTTTTGCTGCTCAGCTGCTGTCCTACTGTTAGTGCAGTGGCCGGTGCTTTAGAAATTAAGGGTCACACAGCGGTCAGTTAGTCCAGGAGCTGGGCTCTGTCTTTTACCGTAGTTCTTCAGCGGAACAAACAGGATTTATTCTCTGAACAGAAACTCCCTACATCAGCAGGGAGAGACTGAATTCCTTTCTGAATGCATGGTCAAGGGAATGTGGAATTGTGAGTAACTGGGCAGCAGAGTCTGGATTCTTGTCAGAGCAATAGGGCAGGGGCGTGTGGAGTTGAGAGTAATGGGACAACAATATGTGTTTTCAGGTGGGAGTAATGAGGTAGGAGAGAGTGGTTTGTGAATAATTGGGCAGGAGAGTGTGGAATCCTATTAGAGTGTAGATTCCTGTTGG